ATAAAATTAAAGAAACGCAGTATTTCTCGGATATAAGCACCGTCGAAAATACGCGTTATTGTATGATGATTATTAAAAACACAAGTGCAACATACAAAGGTACACTGGCGGCAGAAATAATAGACTCGCCTTATTTTGCCCAGTTTTGGCTGTAGGTATTTCTTTGGTTTATTTAATTTTTTTATTTTTTTTTTTAATAAAAGTCCAGCTAGTTATGCAACTTTTTACAAAATTTATAAATATGCAAAAACTTTAACCAAAATTTCAAACTTTTTATTCAGAATGAAAAAAAAAAATGGTAGGTATGTAGTTTTGTTTTTATTATAATAAAGTGCAAGTGTCAAGTGGCTAACAAATACCGTAGATTTTTGGCGATTTTTTTTTTGCTGATGGAGCGAGGCAAATATTACAAATCAACAGTATTTTGTAGCCACTTGAAATTGCACTTTATTGTACTAAAATTGAATGCGCTACAAATCTGCATACCTACCAAGATATTTTCTAAATAAAAAGTTTTCTGAATTAAAAGTTTGAAATTTTTGTGCAAAGTTTGAAATGTGGATTTATGTGGTCTGTGTTGTGTAAACTAGCTAGAATTTTACAAGTAAATATTAAACATTAAATAAACCAATAAATAAGGCGAATCTATTATTTCTGCCACCAGTAGGTATGTATATTATTCAAATAAGGCAAGCAAAATTTTTTTTTAAAACGTTTATGTTAAAATAGTGATGTGCAAACTTTGTAAATTTGATGCACCATACAGTGGTCGTTCACTAGAAATGATGAACTTTCGGAAGAACGAATTTTCGGTTTCTTGGCAAAAATACAGTTTTCGTTAACCCCGGGTTTGGTAATGTGTTTTTATACCTAGGACGTTAATGGTACTGTGGATATAATAATCCGATCTCGCTGTATCACTTTATGCTTAAGCAATATTAAAAAAAAAAACACGATTTTGAGTTATTTGAAAACAGTATATCATCGCTTTTGGGGCAAATTAATTAATTTTGTTATTAAATTTGGATTTGAAAAAATTTATACATACCTACATATTTTTTTAAAGATCACTTCAGAAGTCGGAACTTTTGATATAAAACTCAATTAAACGCAAAAAGATAAATTATGCTTAAAGCCTACAATAAAAATGATTTAAAACGGTATATTTTTATATAAGGCGTTCTATTCGTCCTGGTTGAAGCCAGCAGATCTGATCTGGTTCATCTTAACATCAAAACAGGTTTCGTTAGTTCACTGGTTTTGCTTTCTCATAAAAGTTGTATAGTTTCAATTCAATAAAATATTGCGAAAAATTACTCCATTTTACGAATTAGGCGCGCAACATTAGATGCGTTTTATAGTCAATATTTTTGACTTCTCAACTACAAAAACTTTGAATGGACGAAATTACAAAAATATTTAGGGATCGGAAAAATAAAACAACGGCGTTTAAGTTGTCATTTTATACATTTTTCGGTGCTTATAAGTTCATACATATGAACTTATATATAATTTTTTTATGAGAAAAGTTGACCTGAAATTTTCCCAGCGAGGAATGCTTGGGTAAATACGGGTGCTTATAATCGAGAAATACTGTAATAAAATTAATAGTTGTGGACGAATAAGAAAATGGCACATTTATGCGTTTCACTTCAGCACAAAAATTCGAAAAAACATTTAATTAAAATGTTACGTTTAATTAATATTATTTCTGTTACAGCCGATTTCACGAAAGCACTTTAAGTGAAAAATGATTTTGATTTTTTGAATTTTATATGGAAATTGACGGAAAATAAAAAATCATTTTCCATTTAAATTGTTGGTGAAACCGGCTGTTAAATGCTGACTCCAGTTATTTGCGTATGTACAGTTGCGTGCAACCATTTATTATATCAACCTGATGCAAATGCGAATGTCGATGCGAATGTTTAAAATAATGCGAATAATTCGCATAAGCGAATGCAAATTCAAATATTCGTAACATCCTTAGCACATATCTCGATTTCGGACTTTTCTCTCTAAAAGTTCTCCAACAAACATTAAATCAAATTTTCTCCAGCCTTTCTGATACTCAAGTTAATTAATAACGCATTTATCCATTGGATCTCCAAATTTTGAGCAAAGTTGACAACTATTTGTACTCTAACTTTGGAGATACAAATGTTTGGGAAAACTTTAGTAGACTGCAATCTTCTTTGAAAAAAAAAAAACGGAGTATGACGATTGTTTCATGGCTGTATCCAAATTCTAAAAGTGAAGACCCCGGCGGCTTATATTTAAAAAGTTATTAAGCTTGGCCACTTGGCCGGCCCTCAGCAGTGCTATCAAAAGTAGAAGATTTTTACTACTATTTTGTCATTTAGACTCGCGTACTACTCAAACGCCACTTATAAGTACTACCATTTTTCGAGATACATAGTTAACTTTAAAGTAACTCAAAATACAGTCATGTGAAAAATAATAGGCACATATTTTCACCAGTTTTTACTATTTTTCTT